TATTACGTACGCCTATGTGTCAGGGTCATTTCCGTTTTCCTGCTATTCGTGAAAAACCTGAAGGGGAATGGCGTCTAGACGCCCCCCTTCCGGCCCAGCGCAGGTTAACATTATTTTCACCTTGGATTTGTGTAATTCAATGCGCTGAGGGGTAAGCTATATTTTGATTGGGACGAATCAGGAACAAGTGGGACAGCTGAAGCTTAACCATAAGTACACTGTTATGCAATCGGTATTTTATCACAAAATGAAACTGACCACCACTTGCAGCTGGAAGTCAATTGACAATGCAATGTGTTTTCAGCCTGTACTACAAGCACTGTCGGGAGCGTTACCCAGCCTCGACCCAGGAGGAGACCATGGACCTCATCCGCCACATGAAGGACGTCCGCACGGCGGTCTCAGTCGAGGACGGCGAGACGGTGATCGCGGCGGTGACGCCGCTGATGGAGCGCGTCCACACGCTCCCCGACGCGGGAGAGGTGGTCTTCGTCGACGCCTCAGGAGGGATGAACCGGCACGGCCAGCGCGTCTTCCTGCTGATGTGCTGGAGCCCGGCCGGTGGTCTGCCTCTCGGTGTCATCGTCTCCACCTCGGAGACCGAGGCCGTGGTGGACAAAGCCTTCCGGCTGCTCGTCGGGATTTTACCAGACGGTACGATATACCTACATTTGCCATGAATTCCCATATCTGGCGGCTAAACTCTGAATTGTCCAGTCAGTTGTGCATTGGTGTATAAAATCCAATATCGTGTTTGACCGAGAATGCTTCTTTGACAGGCGCCTTTGGCGGGCGTGGAAGGCGCGGCCCTCTGTGCTTCATGACGGACGACTGTCAGGCCGAGCGGAACGCGCTGTCGGCGGTGTGGCCTGAGGCGCGGCTCCTGCTGTGCACGTTTCACGTGCTGCAGGCCGTCTGGCGATGGCTTCACAACGGCAAACATGGCATCGACAAGCAAGTGAGTAGTTTCTACTGGGAATGAATTTCCGTTCATTTTTGTCTAATTACCCCTTTTTGAGAAACACAGAGAGAGAGCGAGAGAGAGAGAGAGAGAGGGAGAGGGAGAGAGGGAGGCACAGAAAGAGACAGAGACATAGAGAGAGGGAGGGAGAGAGAGAGAGAGAGAGAGAGAGAGAGAGAGAGAGAGAGAGAGAGAGAGAGAGAGAGAGAGAGAGAGAGAGAGAGAGAGAGAGAGAGAGAGAGAGAGAGAGAGAGAGAGAGAGAGAGAGAGAGGCAGGCAGACAGCTGGGCAGAGGCAGGCAGAGGCAGGCAGTCAGGCATAGACAGACATAGGCTGGCAGTCAGGAATAGACATGCAGTGATACTGGTCTAAAGGCTGTAAAAGAACGTAAATGAGTTTGATTAATTTCATCTCAAACACCCCGTATATTTACATTTACCTTCACCCTGCACCCTTCACCCCTCCCGCCTCCCACACTCGGATACCAGTTAAATTGTGCATTTTCTTCCAGCACAGGCAGGCTATCATGGCACTAGCCAAGCAGCTCGTGTACGCCAACAATGAGGCGGAGATAGCGACGACGATGGAGCTGGTGGCTACCGAGTGGGGCGAGCGCTACCCACTGCTGGACCAGTACCTGCAGGGTTTCGCTGCCCGCCGTCAAGAGTGGGCGCTGTGCCTCCGCACGGATGTCCCCACCCGGGGACACAACACGAACAACATCGTGGAGTCCGCCTTCAGAGTCCTCAAAGACTCCGTCCTCTACAGGTCAGTCTTTATTCATATGTTTCACCTAATTGCGGTTCAATAAATAAAACAGTTAACCTGGCGTTCATAGACAAACCTGTCTTTTAACTAAAGTTGATTGTAAAACTGTTTCGGTGACCGGAGGTATTGCAATAGATTCATTACTATTTTAAAATATTTCAAGTTGTAAGGTTGCCCAAAAGTGGCAAATGTTGAAGAAATGTCAAAGTTGCAGTTACAGACAAATTCCAATTAATAAAGACAAATAATTGGAAAAAAGCCAAAGCAGGGGAGTAGTTTTTCCTTTCAATATAGGTCGGAGGGCTGAGAGTGAGCCGGTAAAATGTTCTCGAAAACACCATCAAAATCCCTAGGACTGTGCAATTCTCCCCAGTGTCTGCCAAAGTTCAGAGCCTGAAGCCCCCGAAACGGAATTGGACCATACATCCCTTCGTCAAAGACGTTAATTACTAACTTGTGACTTTCATGGATTAACACGGATTAACTTGTGAATATCACGGTTTTACATTTCTGTTAACCCTACATGTGGAAGAAAAACAAACTTTCGCATTTCGGGTAGGTTGTGAAATTGTTAGTTGTGCTTTTGGTTGCTCTTCTGAAAGCCTTATTGTGTCCATACGCTGGCAGTCTACCGTTAATTATAGCTGCAAAGAAATTGTTGAAATATTCGCTTGACACGCGCTGTTTTTCCAGGACTCGGGCGTTCAACCTGCTGCAGCTGTTTGATTCCGCCACGGTCCAGCTCAGCAAGCACTACGCCAGGAGGGCGTGCGACGTGACCAACGGCCGGCAGCGGGCGGCACTGCGCCGGTCCGCGGCGGCACCAGCCAAGAAACGGGCACTGTGACGCAGGTATTTTGCATGACACGAGAACTGATTAAGGTCACATAAGACAGCTCGTTTTCCAATGCTGGTCCCACCCGTACTGCCACATGGCTGTGCAAAGTGACCAATGCAATCGGCGCGCCCCTAAGCACCAATAAACCAAATGGCTGTGCATTCACACACAAGAGTCTGTCACTGTACCGCTGTGCCACTGTAGGGCCGCGTGGTGTTGGCGCTGTGTGCCACATCTCGTGACTCGTTTCGCGTTTTTTTTTTCTTGTTTCTTCTTTTTTCCCTTTGGGGGTCTGTTTTAAAAGGCCAAGCTGACAGTACTGGGGCGAATGAACAGGTTCGGATTTTCGTACAAGTAACCGTCCGTCAGTTTATGTTGTACAGTCTGTCTTAAAAGTCCGCGAAAAAGCAACGGTGGATCCATCAAGCCTGACCGAGGAAGGGCCTGCTCAATTTGAGTCATCAAAGCAATTGATATTCTCGTCCATTCCCCAGGTCAATTGGTTCGGTGACTTTCAAAGTAAAGCAGGCCTTTCTTCAGTAAGGCTTGATGGATCCACCGTCACTTTGCGCGGTACTTTTAAGACAGACTGTACATACGAATTTTACAGGATTTTATGTGTTGCCCCTCCCACAGGTGACGGAGTTCACCTATCAGGTGAAGTCGCTGACGTCGGTCGGCATCACCTACCTGGTGGACCTGAACGTCGGCGCCTGCACCTGCAGGATGAACCGGCGGACTGGCGGCTGCAAACACCTCCGAGCCGTGCGGCAGCAGACTGGCGCTGTGCCGGAGGCGACGGCGACAAAGGAGACGCGGAGGGCCTTGATGGACATCGCCATGGGGACCAGCCAGCAGCTGCCAGGCAACTGGTTCGACCCTCTGGTCGCCGAGCCGTCCACCTCGTCACCTCCTGGCCCCACGCCCGCCAGCGCCCCCGGAGTCGCGCAGCCCCAGCCGTCGCCTGGTCCCGAGGAGTACGACGACGACGCAATGGACTTCGAGGACCCCGCCGCTGCGGCGGCGGCTGTCAGTGGAGCTGAGCAGCGACGCTCAGATGACCGGACACGCCAAACCGTGGCGTTCATCCAGGAGTGGGCAGCCTTCATGTGCGAGGCAGTCGTCCAGGACGACACCTGGGAGAGGGCTGCCGCTGCCTTCCAGCAGAGGTGGGGCCAGCTGCCCACTGCTGGCCGCCAGTCCGCTCTGCACCAGTTTGGGGGTGCGCAGGGCTGCCGGCGGAACGCCACCCAGATTCCGGTCCAGCCGACCAGCACTGCCCGTCGCACCAGCACCAACGTGCGGGGTCGCGCTCGCTGGCCCGCTGGACGGCCGTGCCGCTCCGCGCGCACCGGGGAGCACGGCTACGTGGCAGCCTCCGCCAGGCGGTCGGCGGCGCCCCACAGCCTGGCCACCTGTGTTGACCAGAACCGCCCCCTGGGGCGCTGAGTGGTAGAGGTGAAGTGGGGGTGACCGGGGCAAGTTGGTGCCAGGGGGGGGGGGGGGGTAAGTTGGGACGGAAGGGATATTTCCAATACTTCTCGACAGTTGGCGTTCAAACTTATTTTGTACATGCACAGTAACGCCGTCTGTTTGTCAACGTGGTGTCGGCGCGTGCTGAGGTAAGTGCTGTTAATAATCGCTACAAATGTGTTTCAGGTACCAAAAGTGATTTTCTTGCTGTGAAAATATTCTCTTCTAGTGTCGTTGTGTGTGCCTTTTTGTTTGCCGCAGGAGTACTGCAAACGTTTGTGTTTTGTCGTTAATGCCCGCATGGATTAGCGATGATTGTTCATGTGAAACATGAATAAAAATGTGTTTAGATAAACTGTTTTTCCTAGTGTACCAACTTGCCTTAGGCCCTGGCCCAACTGACCCCCCGCCGCGGGGTAAGTTGGGACATTGGAGGATGGCCGCTTTGATCAGATATGACACCAAGACGATGCTACCATCTCTCTTATATTAAGTCTTCTTTAAAAGATAAAGAAATCAGATCTCAGTTAATAGCCAACAAATAATGATGTATAGTTATACCGAAGTTATGACGCTTCAAGCAATAACTGGCTCAACTAGCGTTAGCGGAATGACGCAAAATTAGCAGGTGACCAGTGACCACTCCCAGTTCGCTAATATGTTTGCATCATTAACATACCTTCCACTATAAGCACGGTTTCTCAATCTTAACATAAAATATAACATCTTTTCATGTAATTTGCATCTCTAATATACCCCAGTCAAACTTGCATCACTAATGTAGTGGAGGACTTCTTGGGACGAATTAGTTTCTAGGGACTTACACATTTATGCTCATTTCCCCACATTTGTCGCCAGGGGGAGAATTCCACAGAATTTTCCGCTAGGAGTGGCTGAGCCCTATGGTGAATTCAAAATACGCGTTCCGGACCGGTGTCATTGTTGAAAATAATTATTCTTATATCGTTTTTGTGTTAGACACAAAGCCGGTAGCGACGAAGGGCAAATTCGGAGTTCTTTGATAGGTTGGAGGCCGGATAACCTACAGTTTCAGTTGTGGCAAGGCCCTATATAGACAGTTGTGGAAGTGATGTAAGGATTTGTCTGATAAATGTTGTTTCTTGGGAAAGTGGGAACTAGGTACCATTTCATTTTGATTTAATCGTGTTTTTCATGAATAATGCTTAATTTTTCTCTGAATGGGTACCATTTTAAGGAAAAAGCTCACTTTTAACATGGGGTTTTGAACTGTAATAGCAGTTATATAGCTTGAGCTGAGACAAGCACAAAGAGCTTTTACTGCCCAACAATCACCCAAGACAAAGATATTCTATTTCTCTTCCCTAAAAAGTGACTTGCTGAGGAATGTGTGCCTTGCAGGGGTCATTTTCCTCTTTTTAAACTAAAGAGTTCTGTCTATATTAAAATATAGAAAATAATATATAAAACAAGGTTACATATCTGGCGCATCAGAGGCAAAGCAGCGTCGCCATTTTGCGTCCTGGCAGTTGACCTAGCGTGCTGACGGTAGGGTGGTTTCTTTATTATATGTTGGTAAATGTTGCGAATCAAAGTGTTTTGAAGCTGTTTTTTATGTAATTGACCAAGGAAAAACAGTGAAGCATCATCAAAATTGTGCTACCTCAATGTAAAAAACTGAAGTATCGCATATATTTTCCTTGCTGATCATTTTAAGCATAACAAACCATAAATTCATTCCAAAAAATTAATTTTGTGAAAGTGAACTATTCCCTTGAACTTGCCTGATTCTCAAATTGCAATCACCCAAGACATGCTGACTAAGCATGTAAGCAGACTAAGCATGCTGCAAAGCATGCTTACCTTCCTTAATCTGGGGACGGGTTATGAGTGGGTATTGAGTCCTAATAGATGGCCGGGCTAGCTAGCACGCTCACGCATCATCGCATGTGTAACGTGCTCGATGCAATAGGCTATTGACCAATGAGAAGCGAGGAAAGAGTGATATCACACATAATTGATTAGGTACCTGTGCCCCCGGATGTGACAGAGCATGCTCATGCGTGAACAGGGTTTGTGAGATAGATCACTAGCAGTGCTCCACTCCCCGCCACGTATGATAAAAGTAGTGCATTAGCATGCCTACCCCTTCAATGTAATTGAAAGCCCTATGCAAAATTCATGCCTAATTTATGGTTTTGAGGATGGGGAAGTTATCGGTAGTTGAAGTTGAAGTTGAGACCGAATCAGGCTGTAATGGTGCCTAAACATTCCATTCTTATTTCTGTTTCAATTTCGATTATATGATTTAGCAGTAGAGATAAGGCAATTGAGAACTTCTGACGCAGTGCACTGCTTACCTACCTCAGATGGATACCGTACTGCTGGGCGTACACCGGTCAGACTACGAGGCAGCGCTGAAGACGGCCCTGACTCGCACCCTCGTGGCCAAGTCTGCCCACCTGCCTGTGCCGGAGGACGAGTGTCGCCGCATCCTGGCGGCCGGCGTGGCCATTATACAGTCGGCTCCTACCGATGCACTGGCGGAGACCGGCGCGCTGGTCGTCAGAGAATGGGGACGGTGAGTGAATTGGAGAAAGCAGGCTGCAGATGTAACTACTGGATGCCTTCTAACGTAATAAACAACGCCCAGCATTGTGGGAAGTTATTGGCTCGCTTTCCTTATGACATTATAACTATTTCCGGAATGATAGTGATTGGTTCTGATGTGATCTGAGACGCCGACTGTAGTTATGCTCCGCTGACTCACCTCTGCCGTCCCCCGGTCAGCCACCACGCCGCGGTGCTGGAGCAGGCCGCCGTGGCCGTGGTGCTGGAGCCACTGCTGGACGGCCCGGTGCCGCTGTCGGCGCCCGCCGGCACGGCCCTGCTGGCCTGGCTGATGGAGCGGCAGCCGTCCCTGGTGGCCACCGCGCGCCGCCGGCTGTCCCGCCATGCGGCCCACCCGGGCCACACGGCCGACACACTGGCGGCGCTGGCCGGGCTGATGATCGACCGGCCCGCCTGCCGGCCCAGGTGGGTGACCAGCGACCAGCGATCTCTGGCCACTTACTCTGAACCACTGACCAGTGAGATCATGTGATCAGTGTAGATCAGCTGCAGCTATCCGTTTGCTTTTTTATTTCGACGACTTACGACCGATGACGCTTCAGCTATATCAGTACAACTGTTTATAATTTTTTATCGGTGCAGGCACATATCATATTTTACCATTGCCTCCTACGACCGTATAGTGTTGGGCATTTTTGAAAATAGCTTAACCCATTTTATATGTGCCACCTTCGCCAGGTTTGAGGACGCCGTCACCCTCAGCCAGGGTCTGATCCGGGCCATGGCCCCGCTCCGGATGCCAGATCAGAGTGGCCAGATCAGCCTGTTCGTGTCGCAGATGGAGCAGCTCGGACTGTTGTTTCAGGAGCTGTTTAGTAGCACACAAACGGTGGTCAGAGCTATGGATACGCTCTACGAGGTCATGACCGGATCAGGTTAGTGGTGGGAGCCATAGGGACATCGTACGTACATTCCAGAGCTGCAGATGATGTTGGCTCACTCGCACATCGCATGAAATTGTATGCTTTTAGTCTGGATGGCTTTTTATATTCATTCCCTCCCAAACGTGTCCTGCTGAGTGACCGACTGTTGTTTGTCGTTTCTGCCACCAGGCGGCGGTTCGGTGTGTCCGGCTCTCAGCGTGGTGCTGCAGGCGGTGCCCGTGAAGTTGGTCACCCCCGCCTGCTCTCAACTGAACAGTCTCAAATCGGTGAGCCGCTTATCACCGCATTTAGTCGCTGATTCACGGGAACTATTGTTGTTTGATAACTGATGCTCAGGAGTACATTACCTCTATAAAGTTCGATAAACAATCTTGTTTGTTTTGATGATATTTGATATTGTATATTGTTCGCAACTTGCATGTGAGCTTCTTTCATCAGTTACGAGTGGTGTTCTGCGTGATTTTGCGATGTGGGCGCAGTCATCGGCTTGTCTGAACCATTCCACACTCATCTGAAAAGGCGCATATTATTTCCTGCCTACATCAGCAGCTGACAGCTCCCTGTCTCTCCCTGTGTGCCAGGGCGGCGCGGAGACGACGTGCGCCGGTATCGGCGTGCTGTGTGACTGGCTGCTGGTGTGGCCGCGCGCCACGCGGCTCGCTGTCTGGGTGGCCGCCCTGGTACGGGAGGCGGCCGGAGGCGGACACACGGCCGACCTCGACCGGCTGGTGCTGGCCAGAATTGATAAGGTATGGAGTGGTTGTAGTATGGAGGGTACTGGCTGGTCACGTGCTCAGTAGGTGCGGTGTATCAATTGATAATGAACAGGGTAAACACTAAAGACTGGTACTGTGAAGTGGGGCTGCTTCAGGTTCTGACCTGGTATGGCGGACTTGGCTACCAGCTAAGGTTCTGAATACTGTCCGCCTTGTTAGTCATGCCGTGCTGTATGTATTGTTCAGCAGCTAACTATTCTATAATCTGACTGTGCTTTGCTGTGCTGTGCTGCTCAGTTGTTCCAGGGTCTCACGCTGCCGGCCGGCCGCCGCTCGGTGTTTCCCGTTGTCTCGCTGCTGCTGCTCGGATTCCAGCGATCGCCGGCCGCCTTCTTCAAGGTATGTCCCAAAAATAAGAGGACCTGCCGTTCCACAGTGATTCGTCGACACAAAATATGTTTTGATACAAAAATTAATGCTCAGTTATTCAAACTTCAATCTCGGTCTGTGTTCTTTTATCTTGTGTACCTAATTTGAAAAATGTGGGGTCGCTTCTGGGCAGGGGCGGCGGAAGGTATTCTAGGATAGGGGTGCAAACGATATTGAAGCGCCCCTTCCCGCTGGGCGCCCCTTACCATATACACGGTTGTATTAACACAAACAGTGAAGAGACGTTTGGCAATGTGTTGTACCTGTTGTTAACACGTTCAGAATTACAGTTTTTATGTAACGAGAAATAGTTAGGTACCTACATTCCATAGCGTAAATGTAACCTTCATAATGTTCGTTTAGAAACATCCTCATCACCATATCATAAGATTCTCCGAATAAGGCATATCGAAAAGAGTTCCACGGTTCCAATACCTTCGTGTGGACTAGTGAATAAGGCGCCGAATCCATAACACTAACTCGGTGACAGAGAATTGCAGGCCGGTAAGCAGCATGCCGCCTGGGCTGCACTGCACTATTGCATTCAGTGGTGTCATCAGTATCACGTCAGCCCTTCGGAACGGACATCCTGGCTCAATGTCATTCACTAAGCCGACCCAATCTCCGATAGGCGCGGCCCAGTTTCACCAAGTGGGGTAATTTCGGCATGGGGTAGATTTCCATTCTACCCCATGGGATAGAATCCAGTTTCACCAGCTCAAACTACCCCCATGGGGTAGTTTCGGCATCTCATTGTGAATGTTTGCTAAGCAAGCAGCATCAGCAAAACAACGGAACGTTTTGATTGGTCGAGAATTTCATTTCACGACGGCGTGAAATGAAGAACACATTCGATTTGGCTTCTTGTATTTGTCTACCAATCACCTTGGTAACGATGGCACCATGGCACCTCAGTTTCCAAGATTCACAACTTTATTGAGAAAGGAATGCAATGCACAACCGCGAATCTTGATGGATAGGTTACATTATCGAATATCTATTTATCTAGTTTCAATATCGAATAGTATCGAATATTTTAATATTAATTAGTGTTTTAGTAAATTAGATGCTTAGATTAGATGTTTAGATTAGATATTTAAAATTAGATTAGATGTTAAATTAGATTAGATGTTTAGTGTTTTATAATTAGAATGTTTTAGTAAATTAGTGCATGTTTTAGTATCGAATACACCTTGCTTGGTATTTTTGACGACTTTTGACGACTACGAATCTTTTGCACCAGATGCTTTTTATTTCTAATGTGCATTACAAAATACATACATTACAGATGCACGGCACATAACGCAACTTAAAGGGACTATCCCACCTTCTAAAATGTTGTTAAAACCAGTTAAATTGTGCCCGACTTTATAGATTGGATGACCAGGAACACGGTTCTGGCATTTATTTTTCATTAAACATCTTAGGCTTCCCATATTCCAAACACAAACTTTCAAATATGTGACGTCACAGCCCAAAATTACCTCCTTCCCCAGGCCACATTACTGTCATAAAGCTGATTCTTTTTACTCTGTAAGTCTGTAGGCACCACAACAAAGTTCAGACCAAGTTTTAAGCGATTTTTCGACGAACAAACCCATTTAAATCAGAATGACTAAACGAGGTGACGTCACACTAACGGTCGCTCCATGTTGAAGATAGGGCCTTGCACAAGGCCCATTTTCAAATGAAGGGAACGAATTTCTTCAACACCAAGAGGCCGCGGGGGTTGCAACCTAGATAGATAGTGGTTTCTGAACCTCGCCGCAAACTTGGCTATCTCAACTCAAACCCCATGTTAAAGGTGGGATAGTCCCTTTAATTGAGATATGCACAACAGCGACAAAAAAAAAAGATATGGAAAGTATCGAATCCACTTGGCCTGGTATTTTTAACAACTGCTTCTTACGAATTTCGTGCACCATATGCTTTTTATTTCTAATGAGAATTACCTAGGTATGCACGACACATCCTCTTGCTGATTTAGGTACGGCATTTTATATTGATTTCAGTTGTTAGCGTCTTGATATTTGCTGGATATTTGCACATTGACCGTAATACATAGATGCCTCAAATCAAGGTCATATATAGGCTCAAATGATAATTTGAATAGATCACACAAGTACTTGGATCATTTCAACAAGACGCAGCATGTAACCACCGTGAATAATGTGCATTTTTATTGTTTATAGGTTCAAGGCTTCCTCATCCGGTATTCAAGGTCACTGTTGAAGAAAACCTTTAATAGTTAAAAAAGTAAAATTCCTGGCATTCAGCTATGGGCGACATCTATGTATAATGCTTCTTTTGGTGTTGTAGATCACAAGCATGGTGGCGCAGGCTACATGCAGTAAAATACTTGGATGAAATTTGAAGTAGGTATGCTATGAATAATGCGTACTCAAACGTGATAGGTGATTGGACTTCAATAAATTATGTTCTTATTACTATTTTACTGTCAATTCTTGCTCACAATCGGTATCATATTCACAGATTACCCCACGAATGTCTGCCGTAATTTTGGTCGGATATTTGGGGTAGAACCGACGATAATCAGCTGATTGATTGGCTTGTTCAGTTGCTCACTGACCGTGAGCATCTGTTTGCATGGCAAATTTGGGGTAAAATAAGAACTACTCCATGGGGTAGTTTGGAAGTGGCCAATCAGAACCTACCCCATTTGGTGAAACTGGTTTGGGGTAGTTTCGCCGAAACTACCCCAAACAGAGCTTGGTGAAACTGGGCCCAGGTGATACATGTCGCCCATCAACACCAACCGGCGCCCCATTGAAATGAATACCGCCCTTCAACACTGGCAGACGCCCCAGTGGAATGAATGCCGCCCCACAATGCCGATGGCCGTCCCTGCACTGGAAAATCAGTTTCGCCCCTATACAGGCGCCCATAGAAGTTTGCAGAGTGCTATTCCTGGTCATAATCATCTCCCCAGTAAAAAAAAAAAAAAAAACGCAAAATACGCCCTAGCACTAGGGGTGTAACCGCCCATACGGACAGTGCAATTTTACAGGCCCCAATCTCGGACCTCCCTTAACATTCATATGTTGTAAGCGGCAAACCGCCCCCGATAAATGTTACACAAACTAATTTCCTCTCGCATATCGGCCATCAGGCGCCCCTTTTTGTCGCATGGAGCCTGCAACGCTATAAGCCCTCACATGTTCGTGTTGGCGTTCGGAGGCTATCGCCTTCAAAGACGTCTCCATAAATGTTTCTTTTTCGTCCCACACACAGGCGCCCCTCTTTCGCATGCAGGCGCCCCTCTTCCGCATGGCGCGCTTCTCGAGTGGCTGCGCCCTCCTAGCCTTTATTGCCTGGCAAGATTATATTCGACAGGGTCGGCAGCATCTGCCTTTGTTTCAGATAAGGATGCCCTCCACTCTTCAGCATATCAAAATATACTTTTCCCACGTCATTGCCACCCTCTTCGTGTCACAAGTGCCTTTATCAGTTGCGGTGTCGCACTGCTCAGCTTTATGGCTGCCGCACCTCTTAACTTCCTGCCTCCTCTACAGATTTTCGAGGCGCCCCTTTCCATAGCTTTAGGGTGCAGCTGCCCCCCTTGCCCCCCTGCTTCCGCCGCCACTGCTTCTGGGGCGCCTTCTAGGCTCTGGGACGTTCCTGCCTCTGCATCAGGAACCCTCATGTCTGGCTCACGGGATTCTCGCTCACCTTATTCTAATGACCCCTTCCCCTGCGCGCCCGCTCCAGGTTTTGCCCCGGGTGCCCGATCTGCTGGACCAGCTGCGACAGGAGGCGGCCGGCCGCTCCGACAGCGCTGACTTCTGCCAAGTGGCTGACCTAGTACAGACACTGATGCGGCTCCACCCGAGCTGCGTGCAGCGCTACTCGGCCATAGTCCGCGCCCTGCAGGTGAGCCGGTGACGATGGCGATGAAAGTGATGGCTATGGTAGCTGTTAATATACAGTATGCGAGAGTTGTAGCAGTGATATGCCTCATTGTAGCTTATAACTAGCCCAGAAGAACCGCCTGTGCCATAAACCCGAAGCGAATGTCTGATGAAGCGAACGATTGCGAATTCAGATGCAGAGATATTTTGTCTCGACTTTGGATGATTATGTCTCTAGACATCAGTTTTTCCTCATTTTTCGTCATAGTGAGATTCCGCGTCTTACAATGACTTCCCCGTTTAAAGGTAGTGTGCCAGCTTTCCTGGACCGTATGGAGTTAATGGCCCAGATAAGGAGAACCGGATTTTTAGAACTTATCCATACCTTCAAAACTCATGGAAACGTCTTAAATTCTTCAAAGTTTGAGTACCCCAGTGCGAAATTCGCCCCGACGGGTTGTCGGTCGTACCCCAACCACATTTCACACCACTATGAACAATAAATGCACACACTGAAATCGCTATTACCGATAGGCTCATCCAATCAAGTTTCGATAAACCCGTTCATCATCATCTCCTGCGGTTTCGAACACGCCTGTTAGGTGGTGCGGTAGACCGCGCCCAAAGCCAGGGCCCCGGTAACGTGAGGTAGCCGAGTCGGGGCAGCGTGCGCTGACCCAAGCCGGGGCCGCGCGTCCTCCCGGTGTCATGTGATAGCCCGGGCTGCCCGGGGATGCGGTAGACCGCGCCGAAAGCCGCGGCCCCGGCTTGGGTCAGCGCACGCTGCCCCGACTCGGCTGCCTCACGTTACCGGGGCCCTGGCTTTGGGCGCGGCTTCTGCTCATACTTTGTGGTGCGGTGGTGGTGCGTCGGGCCGCGCGCTCTGACTTCGGCCAAGAAAAATGCGTCAGCTGATCATTGTCATTTCTGCCACTTTCATGTGGTGAGATGGGGTCATAACTTTAAGAGACGGCTGTTTCATATCAATTACTTTACATAAAATAATATTTCAAACCATAAATTAATTTTCGACAGCCAAATTAAAGAACAATACCAATACAGGCTTACAGTTTAAATTCGACATTGTGTTGTCTACGATTAGACAGCTGATAACTCATTCCCGTACGTCGTAACTATAATGACCTTTGCTTACTGTCACATGTGCGCCGCATTCGCAATTGTTGCCGACGCCTGTTTGCAGGTCAGCCCACTACAGTTGTTATACATATCGAAAAACCGATAAACTTTTAGGCGAAAAAAGCACTATTTTAGGCCCATTTTTGATTTTTTGCGAGATTAGGTAAAAACAGAAGCTTCTTATCCTAGGAAAAATAAAATGGGAAATCATTGGAAGGTGGCACACTACCTTTAATCACTGCCTGCTAGAGCTCGCTGTATCTGACAGCGTATCGCCGTCCCCCTCAGGGCCGGTCGCCGCCGCCGCCGTCTGTGATGGCCAGTCTGCTCGTTTCGTCCGCCTGGACGGAGCCTTCCCAGGGCTCTGAACCGACCATCGGCGAGGCCCCCCTCTCGGCGCCGACAGAGCCGGCCGGCGCGCCAGGCCAGCGCCGCCGCGGTCTCATCAACCTCGGAAACACATGCTATATGAACGCCGTGCTGCAGGCCCTCTTTCACTCGGACCAGTGAGTGGGGAGAGGGTGGGAGAAGGGGAGAGAGTAGGGGTGGTGGGATGCGCAGGATAGGGTCTTGCATTTGTGGTGATGGCTAGTGCTAAGATAGACGCGGGTGTCCAGACATGAATTTATACGATTCCTTGTCAATTGCTCTTCGGTGTCTGACACATTCATCTTTGTGTAATTAGTGTCGAAATGGAAGCGCGGCTGCGTCGTCACTGTATGTCTAATATGCCCCCACCGCGTGTCCAGGTTCCGTAGTGAGGTGCTGGCGGCGCGGCTCTCTCCCTCGCGCCCCCACCTGGCCGCCCTGCAGCGGGTGTTCGCCTTCCTCGCCTTCTCCGAGCGGCCTGCCTACAGTCCGGCCGAGTTTCAGAGAGTGGCTCTGCCGCCGTGGTTCGAGCGCGGCCGACAGCACGACTGCTCCGAGTTTCTCAGGTCAGTAGGAAAGGTGATTTGTTGTGAGTGGGATCAATTTCTGTTGCTTAGGATTGAACACTTTTGTGCATTGACATTTAACATTCCTGTCTTGGTTTCTGAGCTTTGGTGTATGTCGTGTCCCCCCAGGTATCTCCTAGACGCCATGCATGAGGAGGAGCGGACTCCGGCGCCTCCCGCCGCTACCGTCTCTGTCCCAGCACCGGTGCCACCGGCTCCCGCCGCCGCCCACGCCAGGGATGACTCCAGTGTCCCGGGCTCGGGCGCGGGGGACCGACCGCGGCCCCGGCGCCGGCACCGCTCCTGCGACACGGCTCCGGCCGCCGGCGGACCGCCGCTGGTACCGCTGTCAGACCTGGTTAGTGACGATGTAGTGATGGCCGAGCCTGACAGCGGTGGCGATGGTGCAGAGAGAACTGCAGGGAACGTGCCCTCTGAGACTGCTGACAGTAGCTGCCCGCAGAGGTCTGAGCCTGACGGTCAGGAGGGATCCGCTGCGGGCGCTGATGGCGGCACGGGTGACGCGAGCTCCGAGGAGGCGGCGGCTGGTCTGGTGCGCCGACTGCTGACGGGGCGCGCCGAGACCACGTACACGTGTCTCACGTGCGGCGGCGTGTCGCGCCACGTGGACGCCGTGACGGACGTGCACCTGGCGCTGCCGGAGGTGCTGACGCGCTCAGCCACGGTGGCGGCGGCCGGAGCCGGCGGAGCTGATACCACCGCTGCGATCGGTCCTCAGCCACGGCCGGAGGGCTGGCGGGACCCTCCGCCGGACTGCGGTAAGGGTGGAACGGTCGGGGAGGCAGCGGCGGCCGGAGAGGCAGGAGAGTCAGCGGCGGCTGGAGAGGGAGAGACGGCAGCAGAGACGGAGACTGCTGAACTAGCGGCGACGGGAGAGGAGGGGATGCAGTCAGACTTTGAGCCGATGGAGGCCCAGGAGCCGCCGGGACAGGGCGATGAGCCGCCTCAATCCGCGTCCGACCGGCTGGAGGGACAGGAGTCGGACTCTGACCAGGCTTCCGGTGCCGGCAGCGACGCTCGTCCGCTCGAAGCGAACAATGCTACCTCAAGTGGCTCAAATGTAGAGCGGCGGCGGGATCAGGAACAAGCAGTAATGGCTGGTTCATCACAATCAACACCGTGTGATCCGGAGCCGGCACCCGCGGAGCCTGCTCCCGTATACCGCCCGCTTCCTAAGCTCGGTCCGGAGCCGGCTCCCGTGCTCGGTCCGGAGCCGGCTCCCGTGTTCGCACCGGAGCCGGCTCCCGTATACGGTCCGGAACCGGCTCCGGTCCAGGAAGAGACACCAGACAGCGAGCCCGAAGTCGATCTGACCGGTGAGTATTGTAACTGTCTTATATCGTCACAGCTTATTTTCTTAGTATTGCCTCCAACGGCATCTTCAATTGACATTGCTGTTCTTGAGTATTCTGGGCGAGGCATTGTAATAGTAAGATGTTTCAAGAATGTTTTTTACCATACATAATCTGTTGAGCTTATTGGTGGGTAGCATAATTTGGCACTGACTCCTAAATGACCCTACATCCATCATTCCACTCGTGTTACTCTCCCACCCGCCGGCCGTCTCTGATTAACTCTCGTGTCCTGCCCCTGCAGTGTCTGACCTGCTCCGGGACTACCTGGCTCCGGAGAGGCTGTGCGGCGACAACCAGTACCACTGCGTCAGGTGCGCCGGCCTGCGGGACGCCGAGCGGCAGCTGCGTCTGCTGGCGCCGCCACCTCACCTGGTCGTCTCCCTGGTAAGGTTTGTTTTCGATCGGTGCACCGGTGCCCGGCGCAAGGTGTTGGCGCCGGTGGGCCTCACCGAACGACTGGAGGTGCCGCTGGCCGACCGGCCGCCGGCGCAGTACCGGCTGTACGCGGTCATTGTGCACGCCGGTCACTCGCTGGACGCCGGCCACTACTTCTCGTTCTGTCGCGCGTCCGGAGCCGGCAGCTGTGACGGCGGCGGCGGGCTGGGGGATGACGACTGGTGGCGGCTGGACGACAGCTCGGCGGTGCCGGTGACGGCGGCCGCCGCGCTGGGCCGACCGAAACGCTCCACAGATGCGGCCTACACACTCCTCTACCGACTGGCAGAGTCGAGTCCTGCTGACGACTGTCCGCCGCCGGCGATGGCCGCGCTGCCCGGGCCGCTGCGGGCCGCCGTGGACCGCGACAACGCCGTGTACCGACAGGAGCGGCGGGGCCGGCCGGTCGGCGCGCTGCCGCTGGTGCACAACGGACGGCCGCCGCCGGGCGCCGGCTGTGGCGGCGATAGCGGCCACCCGGGCCCGGGGTTCGTCTGCTGACTGACTGGCGGCCGGACCGTCACCGGTGGGGTGGTACTGCTTCTCTCCCTATGTTGGGGCGCTGTGGGTGTCTCCCCGGCTCCCCGACTGGTCTCCGATGTTCGGGCGGCCGGGGCCGAGCAGAGCCGGGCTGTTCAGAGATGAGTTAACCTGTGCTGTGATATTCGAGCCCGTGTTATCTAATGTTGTGTGAGTATTTATACTGTATAGTTCATGCTGCCCATTTCTGTGGGCTGCCACATTGAGCGACATATTCTCTTCATAATGTGGCAATATACAACGACTTATGTGATCAGTTTGTATTTGTCGTTGTAGAACATCGCAAGCACACTACCCCGTTCATAAATTGACGATATGCAGCGCTTTTAAAGCCTGACTGCATTTTCCTTTACGTCTTATAATGCACTGAACTGATATAATTCCGTGCTTACATAAGTCTCACAGCGTGACAGTCACGTGACTCAGTGACAGCTTGATTGTGGTTGGAAAGTGGGTTGTTCCGGCGGTCACGTGGCTCAGCTGCCCCGGTAGGTGCTGTAGCCGTATGGGGAGAGGATGAGCGGCACGTGGTAGTGCTCTCCCGGCCGGACCACCTGGAACACAATCTGTCCGAGACGGGGCATGTCAATGGAGGCTGTGTGTGCCGGGTGGCATGGCTATTGGTTACATAGAACAGCTTCGTGATCTACACGCAATGCCTGCCCGTTTATAGTCAAAAGGCGGACATCAGAGAACTGCTAAACAAGCGCACTGGTTTATGAAGAATTGGATGAGAAACATGGATTGGGAATCGGTTCACCAGTCGCTTTTAACAGTCCCTAAGAAATGTATGAAAACAAATGCAACCAGAGCTTCATTCTATAGTAAGTGTACGCCGTACGGTGACGTGTAAGGATCCTTTCCAAATCTCATGAGATTGAGTGAACGGATCTGGTATCGGAAGCGATGGCAGGAAGGTTGTAAATAACCTCACCTCCACGTATGGATAGAAGGTGGTGCCCCCGGCTCGGCGAAAATATTCCTCCGTGTCGAACCGCAGCTTGTAAGTGTCGGCAGTGAACTGTTCCCGGTCCAGGAAGCCCGAACAGCGACCGTCGCTGTTGGTCTCACTGTCGGCAACAGCGGGCACTGTTGGTTTCACTCGCTGTGGTTAGAAGCCGTGAAGTTCGCCCCGCCGTCAGTTTTCAGCTACATCCCAATCCCGCTTATACAGCGGCGAGTAGGTAGACTGCACCGCAATGCATGCGTGTACTCCGGGCAGCCTACCTCCCTGTAGCACTGCCCAAACGCACCCGAGGATATCGAAAACTACCGGCTTTGTTTTTAATTAAAAATAGTTTCGTATCATAAAGCGACACGTTGCATAAGATTGACAAAGTATCTGAAAGTCCTTTGATATTGATAAGGTGTTTTAACTATTCAGCATAAATTATAATGAGCCGTCTGTTTCACTCAGGAATAATATGGTGACAGTATCTGTTGTAAAGTCCAAAATAAATTGAAGGTCATCTCAAGGGTTCTTCGGTTTTCCGAAAACTCAATATAACTCTTCTGGTACCTATACCTTAACAACTTTTTGTGGATCAATTACACGGAATATACCTAAAGTTTTCGGTTTTGGATTAAAAAAAGAAAACATTGATGTGTGTAACTATAACTACCGATTACCATTGCTTCGCAACTGATTTTCCCATGAGCAAAGTCATCCTAAATTAAATAGAACATTCAGGCAGTAGCGGCGGAACATCTTCAATTAAGGGGGGCACTGCCGACTTTTGGTCCCATTCTGTCCATGCAACGCCCATAGGGCTAATGTTAAAAATTAAAATGCCAAAATCAAAGGGGGCACGGTGCCCCGGTGGGCGGCGCCCTCCCCGTTCCGCCGCCTATGCATTCAAGATTTAGGTATTTCTATATTTGCCGAGTCCCTACTCTACTCGCCCCTCTAAACACCCATTTGTTGCCCAATACCACCTCACCTGGCTTTGATAATCACCCAGTCGTCGTCTTGTTTCCTGAAGAGAGTCAGAGCCAGTCCCCGTGCCGGTCTGCCGCTGGACGTGTCCAGCACGTGTGACGTCAGAGGGCCCCCAGACATGACCTCAACAGTCTGTAATGTGACGCAGTGCTCAGGACAGTCAGTGCACGGTAGATAACGCCTGGTCTGAAAAAAAAAACCATGAATGTTACTGAAGGAAGCTGGGGAACGGCATGTTAGTATAATAACATGATGTAACTAATTAAAAAAGAATGGTAAAACTGATCATTCCTACCTTACGATAGTTGGAAGAACAAAATGTAAACACGGCATTGCAGGCAAATTAAGACCCCGCTGATCATCCATCATTGAGGACACCTTTAAGAGCATAAGAAAACTATATGTAGAAGCCAAGGTGTGCTCATCGGCAATGGAAGCTGCTCTACATCACATGCCCTCACTAGGAGCTGTAGGTAATGAGCAACTCGGCACTGACCTTCGACGCGTTGTTCCCTGGGAGTAGAGATTTCCTCCGTATACGACCCGTAGTCTACGGTCTGCACTGAGACGAACAGCGGACCAGCCTGTTCCACTTTCTCCGGCCACCGCCGCTGACACCGGGCGGGCACCACAGCACAGGGAGGGTGACGGCAGACTGGTCCGGCCCACAGCCGGTGGGGGGAGGGAGGGATCGGGGTACGGCCAGACACGCGAGCCGTAACGCAAACAGACGCCCCACGGGGCCAGGCCTCCTGCACCCGCGACCAGAGCCGGCACGGTCCATGTGTTGGTGTTGTGGCGTCATGGCGTGCGCATGAGACGACCACGCGCCACTAAATGTGAATAAAATCTGCAACATTCGTTTGGATTTGCATTCAATAATTTTTGTTATGACCCGGGTGTTGCCTGCATATGGTCAAGCTGTAGTTTTTTTAATAGCATTTAATATTTATCTGTTAGAGCATGCTAGGTTTCCTTTTGAAACGGTTAGCGCGAACCAAATTTGCCTCGAATTTCATTTTTTTTTGCTTCAGTTTCGGGCTTTGTTGTTCTTTTGAAACCTCCGCATTGTAACCTCGTTAGACGTTTATCTTCTGACCCTTTCTAACTCTTGTATGTGTGTACTGTTTATTTTACCGTCAAGTCCGGTCGGCGGCAGCCAGTAGACGACCATGCAGCCATGTGTAATGTGTATTGGGCAGCCGATCTGTGCTGGATCGTATGCCAGAAAGGTTTTTCACATGTGTTTATCCTGCGCTGAACCGCGAAATCAGAAAGAATCAGCTGTCGCTTCCAACTTGCCACGGAATTGATAGGTTAGACTCGTCCTGGGTCAATCGTTTATTGACAATACCTACCGTCAAAAAGACAATAGACATTGTACAAACGAACAGTCTTCCATCACACCAAAGGCAAGCTCGATTGAAAACGCCTCTGGTTCCCCAGCCTACGTCAACGCCAAGCCCGATCCCCGCGTCACCCCTCTGTCTTCCCCCGCAGCGCCGTGCTGGAGGAAAGTCCAGCCTGCCGTCCATACAGGACGTGACATCACGCGCGTGGCGTCACCGCTATCACATCCGAGCGGACGAGCAGTGCAGGTCTCACTTCCGACCGGTGCCGCACACACCAGTGTGGACCGTTGTGAGGTCCCTAGAGAGCGTGCTATGGCCGTAGATGGTAGGGAGTAGGAAGAGATGTCCTCTGCTCGACCTTTTCCCACCGCACACCGTTTATCACAGAATCATGGTAAACGCATCACTGCTGTGGTTTGCAGGCACGCTTTGTGTCATTTTCATGACTCGGCTGTTAGTCATTCAGCCATCCACAAGGAGCGAATTCGCTGTAAAGGCGTTACTCACTGGCAGATACATATCCCATCGCATGTGTAGCGTATTTACAGATGTATCTAAAAGCGTACTCAAATCACGGCCAGGCACGATGTTGTGGCATGTGAGACGACAATGTATGGCGAGATCAGTGTTTACTGTTTATGGTTACTTGTGAAACTGAAGCCTCTCACCATTGCGATCCTTGTCATGTGTTCAGACACACATAAATCACTGGGTGAACCTGTTGTCAACAGTGGCACAGTAAGCATGCCCTAGAGCGGGCAGGATTTGCGGCAGCCGGGTTCCTGGGACTGGGCGTTCGCGGCGGCAGCCGTCGCGCGCGGTCCGTCCCGGTCCCTCAGCCGGTGCAGGGTGCCGCTGGGGGTGCGTGGCAGCACGGTCGGCTCCAGGCTGCCCAGGGTCTCCAGCACCACGTGCAGCTCGGTCTCCGTGTAGGTCTTCACGTCTGGCACGGCGACCACGAAGGGGCGGCGCGGCGACTCGGGCGGCTCGGCCCAACCGCCGTCCCCACCACCCGGCTCGTCCGCGTACAGGTTGGCGTTGTTCAGCTTGTGCGGCCGATGGTGGAGCGCAGCCTGGGCGGCGCGGCCCCGCTGACGCTCCCTGAGCCGGCGCGTGTGCCGCCACACGGCAAAACACGAGACGGCGCATAGGACGGTGATGAGGGCGGCCGCCACCGCCACCCCCACCAGGTAGCGTCGCCAGCCGAGCGGCGGCGGCGGCGGCGCCGGTGGCTGGTCGTCCGGCCGACACTGGCGGTCCAGGAAGCGTAGGAAGGACGTGTCCATGTCGGCGTCAGCAGCGGGGAGACAGAAGAGTGCTGCAGTCAGCCGGCGAACCAGCCAGTCGGGCGCGCCGGAGCCGGCCGCCAGCCGCACCCAGTCGCCCAGCTGGCAGCGGCAGAGCTGGCGCGTGTGCAGCTGCTGCACCGACAGCTGCTCGGGGGTCAGCTGGGCGTTGAGCGCCAGTCCGCCGGGCTCCACCTCCAGCAGCTGGTTGTCGTGCAGCTCCAGCCGCGCCGTGCCGTCCATGGGACGAAGCGCGCCGAACGCGCCCTCCGGCACCGACTCGAACGTGTTGCCGTTGATCCGTACCGAGTCCGTCCAGCGAACGGCCAGCGCGTCAGCGGCCAGCGAGCCGATCGAGCAGCGCTGTATGATCAGCGAGCCCAGCTGGAGACGGAGAGCTGACGGCTGCAGCTGCCGAACAGAGCAGCCGCGCAGCTCCAGCCGGAGCAGGCGGCTGCTCGAGAACGCCTGTCCGCTCACCCGCACCAGGGTGCTGTTAATGAACACGACGTTCCCGGTGGACCATTTGCTGCCCACGAAGGCCTTGTCCGGCACCGACATGCTGGTATTTATGAATGTGACGTCGACGGGGCCCGAGAAGCTGTGACTCGTGAGGACCAACTCCTGTCGAGACAAATAAAACGAGGCGCCGTACAAATCGCTTTGAAGCGAGAATGGCGGTGGAAGTTTGCACATCTGATGCATGTCGCTTGATAAGTGAACATTATATTGTTTGCATCTTAGATTGAAGTAAAACCTTAATAAAAAAAAAAGAAATTAAATCAGCACTGGGCAAATGGTTAGGTACGAATAGACGTTATGATTATTGCATTATAATTTTAAGAATCTGACATTACAACACGCCACTAGCTTAAAAATGCGTATTTCACACTTCACATCAAGTCAGCAATGAGCGGTATAATTGAGGCTCTATTCACCATCTTTACAGATTCAAATTTAGGTATTATTGCCATTTTAGCTTTTTCCCGCTTGTTTGTGCACTCACCTCGATATTTTCGAAACCAATTGTAAGCTGTCGCTGTGGCTTTGTTCTGATGCTGTTGCTAACCAGCATGACCTTGTTGAGTCCCTGCATGGTGACCCGTTTCAAGCTGGAGTGGTAGAAGGTGTTTCGTTTCACTGTGACCCGCAGACAGACCCGTGATGCGCCCCTGACACGAAGTTCAACGAGATCATTGCCGGTGAAGTCTTCAGGGGACAGATGGAGAGCCTGAAACACGCAACCCGCCAGCTATGATCAGAAAAATCGCGGACAGTGTTAATCCACCAAAAACGCGAACGGTTAATTGAATGTCGGTCACTATTCAGAACCAATACAGGTTAACCGATCAACCTTTAGTGAAAATCAGCAAAAATCAACGAACCTTTCATCGGGATTTAAATCAATTTTGTGTGAAAATAAAAGTTTTGGTTTGTTTTTCTATGTTCCAGGACCGAGAGAACCGTGCCGTTATGTTTTTACTCGCGGTAGGTACATTAAACTTTTAAATTAACCTGCGCTGAGCACAGGTGAATCGCGTACGGGCATTGGGCAAGGCTTTGTGGCGGATCCATGGTAGGTACTGTTCGCTACAAGCATGACTAAACGACGGTGCAAGAGGTTGAGCCTACACAGCCACCCACCGAATCTTCGGAATCAGACTGATGATGAATTCAAATTTATTTTTGGTGGATTTATTTATGTACTATTTACAGTTTAGATACCAGAAAGTCTTGACCGTAACATTTACTACAAACAAACAACATATTGGTATGAAACTTACAAGCATTTTCTTTCCTTGGTGCTTCAAGTTGATGTGGGATTTAAGTTTGTCTGAAAAGTTTTTTCTTCTAACATTTGTATTATTAGCCACTGATATAGGGACTATTACGTATACGAGATAGTTAAAAAACACTATGGGATCGTTATGAGCCATTTAGCTCACTTCACCCTATCCGAGAGTCCATCGCCAGTCGTTCACCGTCCGCTGATTTTCAATATGCTGTCCTTCACTGACCTTTGTGTTGCAGTCACAGGTCGCCATCCGCTGCTGGCAGACACAGCCGGGATGGGAGCAGATCGCTGACCGGTTCACCGGCGGCCGCTGCTTGTCGGGAGACGGGATCACATCTGTTTCGTTGGCCTGCGACCCCTGAGAGGTCACTGGTCGGGGCCACACCCCCGCCACTACCACAATCAGCAGCAGGAGCCACGGCGACGGCCGCTCGCCGGCAGCCATGGCCGTCCTTCCAGACGAGAACACTCACTGAGGCGGCGCTGGAACGGCGTGTGACGCGCCCGGTGGCGCGGTCCCTCCAGCGGAAACCGCCTATCGGCCAGAGCTGGGCGCGTTCCTCGATTTTCGGTAGTGCGTTAGCGTTCCTGCGTTCCTCCGGCCGCGGTTAGTGCGTTCCTGGAATAGCGTTCCTCAATTTTTTTTCGTTCGGTGCGTTAGCGTTCCTGCGTTCTTGCGTTCCTCCCTCAAAAATACCGCCGAACCACGCGGCGCGGGCCCAACCAAACACGGGGCGAATCGATCACAGAATACCCAGAATGGCGACGTGGGGCCGAAAAGCAACTCGACATCTCTTTTCCGAATCGAATATCTGAAATACGTTTTACCAATATCATCCGTAGGGTTTTCAACAAAAATACGACCTGCTTAAAAACAATAGTTTAGTTAAAAGATGTATCTTAGTAAAAGTTATTTTACTATATTTACTCTACACATTTAATGCCTGAAACTGAATCGAATAGTAAACATCACCACTAAAAATCTTTAATGCCTGAAACCGAATCGAATAGTAAACATCACCACTAAATCTAAGCAAGCCTTCCTCGATTCGACTGACAAGTGGCGCCTCTACCGGCAAACACACGTACTCGAGATTCAAACATTTGACACAGAGGTCATTGGCAGCAATATAATTTTTCGGGTGGTTCCGCAAGAACGCAGGAACGCTTCAAAATTTCGGGTGGTGCGTTCCTCTTACTTGCGTTCCTTTGAAAAACTTTCCGTTCCTGCGTTCTTGCGTTCCTAAAAAGGGCGGTGCGTACGTACGGAAGAACGCAGGAACGCACTAAAGGAACGCACTTGCCCAGCTCTGCTATCGGCGCCGCTGGGGTTTGATCCTTGGTTTGATCCACCGGTGAGCCTCCAGATGTCCGTGAAACTGGCGTCGTATTCATATTTGTAATTCGTATTCGGTGTCGAATTCATATTCGTTTGTATAGTGGGGGTCAAATAGGGATCGCAGAATAAGGAAATATTTGTTTTGACCAAACTAGCCGCTTTTAATTATTTATCTTCCCTGTGGATGGACACAGCTTAATTGTATGAAGCCATCATAGATGAAAAAAATCATGGTCGCAGCCGCCTCATCAGTTTAAAGTCTAGCTGACATCGAGTTATTTTCTGACTGATATGAGATATTGAATCTATAAATTGCCGTACCTACCTATACCTTATCTGGCTCTGGCATTGCAGTCGCTTCTACCGGCTGGTGATTGTAGATGAACACTGAGAGAAAAATTTACTCTAGGCTCTCGGAATTCTCTGAAACTCCCGCCTAATAACTCTTCGCAACTCCCTCAAATGTCGGTAAGCTTAGCGTAGCGAAGAGTATTTCCGAGAGTTTCCCGGTAGAGTTGCCAATTCGGCTGCGTCCGGGGAGTGTATCGTAGAGTTTACCGAGTGTAACGCGCGGAGTGTCTCAGCTGGCCTCTCTCGTGCGATGCCTGTTTACTCTCCTCATTTCCAGCTGAAGCATAATCGAGTTTATTCCAGGGAGAGTTTCGAAGAGTTTTGGAGAAAAGTAATGTTCTAGAAGCTTCGGCGCGCGCTAGGCCGAGCGTCAGTCCAGCTGCCGGCGCAGCGCAGTGTGCACGTTGCTGCTTGTATTCCAGTAGGTACTATTGTGCAATTTATTTGAATTTCTACATTGCTTTGGTAGTGAATTGGTGAAATAAGTGTATGCCCGTGGCAGTGGCGGAAGATTAAAACTGTGTCCAAGAGGTTGGTAATACCTAACAGAACATTGGATGAATCAACTGGCAACTGGTGTGAGTGACTTGAGGACTGACCAATGACAGCGATGGACCGAGTGATTACCGTATAATACCGAGCAGTGGTATTGGTAAAAATGGGTGTGTAGAATGGTGTGGTTGAAATTAGCTAGGCCAACCGCTCCAGGAGCTGAAGGAAGGGTGCTCTCTGCGCTGGTGAGTGGTGAGTCGTGCCGACGGCCGAGTTTTAAGAAGTTATTACTGTTTTTATTTTAATGTCACGGATATGTAACTACTTCGTTCCATAATCCATCGGACGAAATAATTGGTATCGTAAAATAAGCGGTGTTCTTAATTGTAATGCAGGAATCCAACTTCTGCATTGTGCTGTGCATTTTAGATTTACCCGGCTTTTGGGTTTCTTTTTTTCTGTACTGGAATCATACCATTGCTCGATGATTATTCGCTGAGTTTCGTCGAAAGGATGCTTTAGCCTCACATGTTTTGATAAAGAGTGAGAGTTTGCTGTGCACAGCGTAACAGCTGGTTCTTTATCACATTATAGATAAGAGGCGCAACTGGTCAGTTAGATGAATTATTGTTCACGTTTTGTGACGAAGATACACGTGTAAGATTGAACTTCACAAATAAAAATGTCAATAAATGGTTTGTTCTATTCGCATCAGTTTCGAGAGAGGTAGAGTAATGAGGGTTTACGAGGGGTGTAATGGGCAGTTACGTGGGGGAGTAATGGGGAGTTCACGGGAGAGTTCCGTGAGAGAGTAATGGGGAGTTCACGCGAGAGTTCCGTGGGAGAGTAATGAGGAGTTAACGGGAGTTACGTGGGGGGAATAATGTGGAGTAATGAAGAGTTCTAGGGGGAGTAGTAAAGGGGAGTAGTGATGGGTCGAGAGAGTTATGAAGAGTAACGGAGGAGAGTGATGAAGAGTTCCAGTGAGAGTTATGAGGGAGAGTAAAGGGGAGTAGCTGCCTGGAGTTTTAGGGAGTCAATTTTGGTAACTCTCGATAACTCTCCTAAAGGGAGTCAAAATTTCTCTCAGTGAAGCCTATAGCTGTTCACATTTCGTGGCTTTTATAGTCGTTTTCTACAAAGTTCTGAATCTGTTGTATCCGTTTTTTTATTTGTAATAAACTCCTGTCGAATGTTTTTTTTTTTGCCCATTTCATTCACGTGCTTTGCTTTATAGACACATAAGCATTGAATGATAAGGACGCGATATCCTCAATAAGTTACACTTGTCTGTTCGAATATGATAAGATGGGCCTTGACGTTTCGGGACTAAGGCTGGTTGAAGGTGGTCCAAATGATGGCGCCGTCATTCGATAGCGATAAAATATTGATTCATTCATTTGTGCCAATATTGTAAAGCGGTGCATCAAAAGGTGACTCATATAGTTTCCAGAATACGTTGCCGTATATATCGATTCACCCTGTGCTAACTACTGTGTACTAACCCTGTTAAGCTTAATGTGATGAAGAAATTGTACTCTTGCAAAGGACACTTGAAACTTGGACGGTGGATATCCGCTTTCAGTGAAATCACTGGTGACCTCCCCTCGTCGCTCCGCTCAGCGCGTTGCCCCAGCCTCCAAGGTCAAACCCCATGCTTATCAGCCGGGTACTCACACCCAAGCATCAGACACGTTCAACAGCTTAGATATGACACACTCGAACACGTGATGCAGAGATGGACGTAATTATTCCTTCTATGCAATAAAACCGCATTGCCCCTTTCCGTCTTTTTTCGTGCATTATGCTTATTGATATGAAACGCATGATCAACCATGTTATTCATCAACGGATTCGGACACATTTTCCAGCGTATAGAAATATGCACTTTATGGATAGATAAACGTCACTGCATCTTCATATTGAGAGAGCGTGATCAGTGATGTATCAATGTTTATTTACATGCAATGGTCATATGTGCATTTTGTGCCTGTCGCTCAAACACGTCATATGATGGAGCCCATCCTTCGATAATGTCCGACTTTTTGGGGTCGTCATGGTGGAGCTGGGCACTGCCTATATAAAGACCAAACCTGGCCGTCGTTCAGTAGAAACAATACGAAACGTCATTCCGTCTTCCAAAATAACATTTTCTCAGGCGGACGGTCAATCGGCCATAACGCCTTCACGCCGTTAACCAATCAGGCACGATGCCTGTATGCCGTTATCCAATCAAATATGACGTCTGTGGGTCGTCTTCCAATCAGCCACGCCGTCTCTAGGCCGTCGACCAATCAGCCACACCGTAACTGGGCCGCTATCCAATCAGACAGGACGTCTCCAGACCCTCGTCGATGATGCTCTGAACGGAGGAGATTGCCGACGCGATGCCACCGGCGAAACCCACCACAATTAGCTCGTACAGCAGCACACGCTCCCAGAGAGGTATCGGACTGAAAGAAAAAGCGGGCCGAGCTCGCGGTAAGCGGTTAGCTGTGCTTACATAGTGAGCATACCTACCTAAGCGGTAAACAGGACTGACGGGCTGGATTCAGTGACTGTATATAATACAAAGTAAAAAAAAACATGTTGAACTTTCTATAGGGTATTTATGTTTTTAACGTGTTGACTTAACCAGGGCCGAAGGCGAAAATTGGATAACTCACGTATGCTACCGATTTATCTGTAATAAACATAAAAAAGCTGCAGTATATGATTTAATAACGAAGTTCTAATGAACCCGCGCAGCAAAACAAAAACAAATGAACGTACATGGTTTTCCATTTTCCGTCGGGATCCTCCATAGCGCAGAGTCTGAGGTAGAAGAACGGCGGCAGGATGAACGTCATCAGCGCGATGGTGGTGGAGCCGAGCAGGTCCAGGATCTTGACAAAGTCGGGAATCAGCTCACCGAGCAGCACCAGCACGCCCATCAGCAGTGTGCGGAACAGACAGCGACGTATCCCGAACGCTGACCGCGTGCAGGGAGGCAGGTTAGAATTAGCGGTAAACATGGCAAATCAAAACGATTGATAGACAGATAGGGAAAATAAATGCATAACTATACGGATTTATATGACATCAACAGATAAAAGATCGATAGGCATATCGATGATGTCGGTTAAGAATGTAAAACTTTCAAGCTTCAGGAAGAAGTTAAGGCTCTCTAGGTTTCAATCATGCTGACAGTATTCCATCCTATCTAAAGGCACATAAATCATCCCTTTCCTACCGGGGCGCACACGTCTCTCGACCCTATCCTGTCAGAGGGCGGCCTCCGGCACTGACCGGGCGGCACCTTGGCGACCACCTCCATCTGCTGCAGGAACGGGTTGATGACCACCGAGAAGGCTGTCACCAGGTGGATGATGAAGAGGATCTCGGCGCCGTTCGACAGCGGCCCCGGCGTCTTGTCCTTCAGCGTGTCCAGGATGCTCGAGGCAACGTCGTCACCGACGGCGAAATAGCCAACGGCCGCGATCGGGAGGTACATCGTGATCAGACCTGCCAAGAAATTTAATATGAAAACCATATGCCTACAATTTTTCCTCGAAGACAGCCAGCCGCATTTCATGTTCTACATATAGGTATGCATTAGTTAAGATATTTTGTATGTGGAACTTTATATGAAAGCCCTGACTCAAGGCCTACAAAATTTCCTCGAACACGGCATAATTTTAGCGTAGGTCGTTGGACAAGCTGTAATCTAAGCTCCGATAAAGCTCAGGTCAGGCAGTCCGATTCCAGCTACGTGCGCTCACAATATTACGATAACACTCAAGTGGGTTCGCCCACGACCTTCACCGGTGCGGGTTCACGTGCACGGGCGGAGGGTGGCCGCTTGGTCACCCACTGCCACCGGTGCTCACCGATGAATCCGAGGATGACCGATCGTCCGAACATGTCGCGATGCTGCATGTCGTTCTGGATGGTGGGGAAGGTGGACGCGCCACCGAAGCTGAAGAGAATCGGACCCACGCCGAGGAAGAAGGGCAGAAACTCGGGCGAGTGGAATGTCGCATCGGCACTGAGCTCGGCGAAGTTGGAGGAGAGCTGGATCATGCAGAACAGCCAGGCCAGAGAGGTCGTGCCCAGAGCCAGAATACCGATCCACCTGGAGACAATGTCCGCGGTCAAAGGCCAACGGTACATACCTACTGTAGTTGTATATGTTGTTATTCAGCAGGGTCATAATTGATGTGCCGGAAAAGTTGTTTTGACACCAGCTTTATAGTTTTATTGGGAGCTTTCATCATGGACGTAACTAACTACAAAAAAAAAAACAACAATCCATTCATGGCTATGGGCATTTTCTAACGACCACGGGCTCGACCAGCAGGCAGATAAGCGTCTTCACTCCTTTTAGCCACTTCCTCATTTATCCCGGCCCCGCAGCCCACACAAGCCCCCTGCTGAACATACCAGAAGTCCTTGGGCGATCCGAGCCACGAGACGGGCACCAGGATTGCGGCGATGACGAGCACCCAGATGCAATAGGAGAGGTCCACGGCGCAGTCGGACGGGGACGGGCACAGCAGGTTCTCCAGCAGCTGCGCCACTATCAGCACGTACACGATGCACGCGCCGAACGTGTTGATACTCATACACACGGCTGCCAGGACCCTGCGCACGGAAACCGAACGGAACTCAGCACCGGGTGGCGGGCAGATACGATCTGCCTGAGCTGAGGCATGATTAAAGGGACCCTCCCACCTTCAAAAAAGTTAATGAATTGGCATGAAAGTGATGTCGCTCGGTTCAGAAAGAGCAAAAACGAATATCTACCAAATTTCATCGAAAAATATTCACCGGTTTTCAAGATATTAGACTTTTACTTTTGTTTACTTTTTGGGATCTCCGCTGTTCCTAGCGACTTTATTTGAAAGTGCGGCATTTGTTGCGCGCAAAGCAGCATATACCACCGCGTGCTACAAAACGTTTTAGTCAAACATTTAACGGACGTTCGAAAGCCTGATGACGTCATCAGATTCCCGTAATGGTTAAGAGATAGGGACCACGCTGGTCCCACCCTGCAAGTAAAGGGAAGAAATTTCTTGAACACCATAAAGCTGCGGGGGTTGCGACCGGGATAAATGGTGGTTTCTGAGCCTGGCCGCAAACTTGGCTATCTCAACTCAAAACTAATGTTAAGGTGGGAGGGTCCCTTTAATCAGACACGACGCCTCTCACGGTGCTGGATCTAATCGAGCCCATATGAGTTATGTCCAAAAATGTCTAAAATGGGGGAAATGGTTTTCGACGACCTCTAGTAGCTTGACCTTTGACCTAAGGATGAGTTACGTCCAAAAACGTCTGAATTGGGAAAAGTAACCTCTAGTAACCGGATCATTGACCTGAGGATAAAAATGACATCAGTGTTTTTCTACAGTTTTGACAAACTTGCAGATATTCCATTTACTATTTTTGAAATTTGTACGTGAAAACGTACAAAAATGCAGCTTGAAAAAGCATCTATTTTAGTTGTATATGGTATGTATGTGAGTTGCGACCTGTGGCCCGATCCTCATGTTCACGCAGTGGTTTCCGCATGCGATAGGTGAGCGATAAACGATAAACTATAATTATCGCTGTTAAGTAAATCGGTTATCGTTATCGTTTATCGCTAAATTTTAAAATTATTGCTCATCCACTTATCGCAAGTTAAAAAAATATGAACGATTAACGATAAAATGTAAAACGGGATGATGGAAAAATGGAAGACGATCGACAGTGTATGCCGCGCGACAGTATGTGTGCGCAACCTGTTGCCATCTGCTAAGTGTATAGATTTGCAAATAAACTTTAAACACTTATTTGCTGTATTTCTTATCGCTTTTGTCATCGCTGTTAAAAAACAATTATCGTTATCGTTGTATCATTTATCATTTCGTTACCGCTGTTAAAAACAGTTATCGTTATCGTTTTATCGTTTATCGTTTGTTATCGCTGTTAAAACAATTATCGTTATCGTTTTAACGTTTTATCGCTATCGCTGTTAATTTTTTTAATTTTATCGTTTATCGTTTATCGTTATCGTAAACCTTTCTCATCATTTTATTGTTATCGCAGGTCTGAAAATTAGTTATCGCGAAAAGCACTGTGTTCACGTCATGGATGAAGTATTCCCAGGAATACCTAATCCAATGTAATCCATGTTCACGTGTCGCACACTGGAGACGGGCCGGAACTTATACGTTATTGTTCGTGATTAACTATTCCCAAATAGTTATTCTCCTACTGAGACTGACTTTCCGGGTTTTCCGGCGGCGTGGAAGGCGATCTCGGGATAGGGCTCTGCGCAGCGTCCGTGCAGCTCCGGGTAGCGGCTCTCGATGATGAGCCAAGAGCGGGACAGGCAGAGGCCGCAGTAGGCCGACACCACACCGAGCACGAAGATCAGCGGCACGCCCACCCAGCCTGCCGGAAACAATGTAACTCGTGCCTGACTGACAGCGTGGGAAATTCTGGAAAACAGTGTCCATTCGTCGTCTGGAGGGAGGATGTGACATGCCCACTCCACACAATTGTTTACCTGGGTACGGATAATCCATCGATACGTTCGCATGTAAGAAGGCTCGTCATCAACTGCGTTATCAGCATACCTATTCGTAAGAAAAGCCTTTGAAGAATGTGTAATAACTTCGGTCAAATGTGTGATGAGTTATCGTCTACTCTTACATAATGAGGCGATAATATCACGTGAATATAGCAAATTCCTCTGTATTAGGTCGTCCAATAAGTAACGAACAATCGGTCATAACTTCTTTATTTCCTTATTTAACACTTTCAAACTTTCACAGATTATAGATCAGACGAATGCAGCCTTTGCCTCAAACCAGTCGCCGCCCGCCTGCACACACTTCTCCCAGCGTTCCGGCCAACGCTGGAATTCCGCCCGGAAAAAAACGCGTTTTCCGTCTTTTTCACCCAGTTCTTGACAGCGCACCTGACTTCAGCGTCGGTCTCGAAGTGTTCACCACGGAGGCCATCCTTCAGGGGACCAAAGAGGTGAAAATCTGAAGGAGCCAGGTTCGGACTGTAGGGCGGCTGGGACATGATATTCAGCCCTGTCTCGCGATCTCCTCGCGTGTGGCGTGAGACATGTGCGGACGAGCGTTGTCATGGTGTCATCCTGGTGGGCTTTCTTGAACCTGGGCGGACTATGGACAGCGGGCCGCTACATCACAGTTCTGCAGGAGACTGAGAAAAGCAATCCTGAAGAAGAGGCGCGGCTCGGATGTCAACAACATCACCATACACCATGACAACGCCCGACCGCACTTGTCTCACGCCACGCCCGAGGAGATCGCGTGACAGGGCTGAATATCATGCCCCAGCCGCCCTACAGTCCGGACCTGGTTCCTTCAGATTTTCACCTCTTTGGTCCCCTAAAGGATGGCCTCCATGGTTAACACTTCGAGACCGACGCTGAAGTCATGTGCGCTGTCATGAACTGGGTGAAAAAGACGGAAAACACGTTTTTCCGGGCGGAATTCCGGCGTTGGCCGGAACGCTGGGAGAAGTGTGTGCTGGCGGGCGGCGACTGGTTTGAGGCATAGGCTGCATTCAGAAATGTCTGATCTATAATCTGTGAAAGTTTGAAAGTGTTAAATAAAGAAATAAAGAAGTTATGACCGATTGTTCGTTACTTATTGAACGACCTAATATATCACGTCCACGTGTCAACCATGAATTGCGACTTTGTTATCAGCAAAGTTGGCCAAGTTAGGTATCAGCTCTGTCAGACTATCAGTATCCACTTATATGTGCCAAATACGGGATTAGGCTCAAAGGGAATGGCCTTGCCACCGTCTAACTAGGGACACGGGTCCATTGGATACCGCCACAGAGCCTGATTCACTCAGCTCTAGAACCCCAGGCAGACCGTGCTGTAGCAGTGCAGGCAGGCTGTGGGTGGAACCGTCTGACGACTCACCGGTCTGTGCCACCGAGTAGGGCAGCGCCAGCATGCCGCTGCCGGCGATCTCTCCGGTGATGAACACGCCGGCCATCCAGTAGGAGATGCCGTGCACCAGCGGCCTGGACATCACCGAGGCGGCCGAGACGGACGAGCCCCGCGGCACCATCTCCATGGCGGAGCCGGCCTCCGCCATCTCCGCGCGAGGGGGAGCACGAGGGCACGGAGAGGGCCCCGGGGACCGGGCCGGGGTGTGACGGAGAGCACCGAGCCGGGGAAGGGCTGGACCTCAGCCACAGCCGCTGTCCGACTGGCTGCCGCCACAACCGCACTGCCCCAGGGCCCCGTGAAACTAAACCAGTGACAACTGAACCAGGACAACTGAACCAGTGACAGCTGAACCAGGGACAACTGAACCAGTGACAGCTGAACCAGGGACAACTGAACCAGTGACAACTGAACCAGTGACAACTGAACCAGGGACAACTGAACCAGGGACAACTGAACCAGTGACAACTGAACCAGTGACAACTGACAACTGAACCAGTGGACCACTGAACCAGTGGACCACTGAACCAGTGGACAACTGAACCAGTGGACAACTGAACCAGTGGACAACTGAACCAGTAGACAACTGAACCAGTGACAACTGAACCAGTGACAGCTGAACCAGTGACAACTGAACCAGTGACAACTGAACCAGTGACAACTGAATCAGTGACAACTGAACCAGTGACAACTGAACCAGTATGACAACTGAACCAGTGACAACTGAACCAGTGACAACTGAACCAGTGACAACTGAACCAGTGACAACTGAACCAGTGACAACTGAACTGAACCACTAACCAGTAGCCCAGCAAGCAATTTTACTCCGGGCCCAAGCAGGCTTAAGTGTGGCTTGCCCGAGATTTTTAGTCGGGCTTAAAGGAAATAGTTCACTTTTAACATGGGGTTTGGAACTGGAATAGCAGTTTTGTTGCTTGCGCTGAGACTAGCACAAATCAGAAGCTTTTACGGCCCAACGATCATCCTAGACGAAGATATTCCATTTTTCGTTCCGAAAAGAGTGCCTTGCAGAGGAATGCGTGCCTTGCTGAGGAATGCAGTCACGTCATCGTCAGCCAATCAGAATGCTGCTTACAGCCGATGGGTTTGTCCTACGCAATATGATTGGTCAACGCGTAATAAGCTTCCGCGTCAAACATTATTTTATATAGAATATAGTTCTTCTTATACTAAAATATAGAAAATAATCCTTTTTACAAAAACGTTTTGTTTTATTTTCTGATCATTTTGAGCATAAAAAAACATAAATCCATAGCAAAATACTAATTTCAGGAAAGTGAACTATTTCCTTTAAGTCGGCTAGCGCTTGGACTAAAGTCGGCTAGCGCTTGGGCTAAAGGACACAAAAACGCCGACTAAAGCCTATGCTCTGCCGGAGGTATGCCCTCTGGGCCTCTCGGTGAGCTCAGGACAGCCGTTGTTTAGCCCTAGTTGTGCGACGTTTGGCGTAAGCCCGATGTAAGCCCGAGCAGTGAATCCATTTATATACCGGAGATTCCTCTGGGCCGGCAGGCTGAACTCTGCCAAGCCCACGTTGCGTGCCCTGTCTGTCCCGAGTTAGGCCATCAAAGTGAATATTATTTATACGTTGCTAACTATTCGGGCGTCTCAGGTGCGCGTAACGACTAACGGTTACCACACCAGTTCGCGACCACCAGGCTCTGTCAGCCCTGTCAGCCGTCGTACGGCTCTCGGACGGACACTCTAATAGATCGGACACAGATCAATTGGCAACCCGGCAGATTGGCACAGACCGTCCGTCCAGCCACGCGCTACCTTATACCTATACAGCGCAGTACGACATTAGTTGTCCGCTGGTTCAGTTGTCCACTGGTTCAGTTGTCACTGGTTCAGTTGTCACTGGTTCAGTTGTCACTGGTTCAGTTGTCGGCCCATGCCTACCGTCCGCACCACCCTGTTGAGCGTGATTACGCCCCTGGCCAGCCCGGAAAAGGAAGCTAAGGGGATGCGGGTGTTTTTCCTGAGGAAAGCAGGGACAGCTGAAAATTCCAGATGATAAAAAGAGTGTTCGAAAGACTGCATGCTATGCTTTGAATTGTTCAGATACGAATTACGATGGTCATCAAATGACTGAAAGTGACATCTACACCGATCGAGTATGACCTAATAGTTTCTGCCTCTTGTCACTAGATGGCAGCATACGATAGATACCTCTCTATATTAACAATTTTTACCGTAGATTTATTTCAATAATAGCTCCTTTTCTTATAGTAGGTAAATTTAAATCAAAATTTATGGTAAAAGCTACACATTTTATTAAAAGCAATAGAATTAGAAGCCAAGTGAGAGTTTGAGCCAAGCATTTCATGCCAGCGAGGATGTTCTATTGACTCTGATTGGTAGATATTGGGGAGCATCCGAATATGGACCAATGAAAACGAGCGGGACATCTGATTCCTTTTCTGACAGTCGCACACTTTCTGGCAGAGCCGGCACTCTTCCTTTCTCGCTGGACGCCGGTGGGGTTGGAGTGTCGTGCCGGTCGGGGCCCGCAAAAAACTCAAAAAACCAATCATGTCGAAAGGTTTCGATCCCAAGTCCTTCGCCCAGGACTTCATTGCTGGCGGTGTTGCCGCCGCAATCTCCAAAACAGCCGTGGCCCCGATTGAGCGAGTGAAGCTGCTGCTGCAGGTCCAGCACACTTCCAAGCAGATTGCCGAGGCTCAGCGCTACAAGGGTAAGTAGTCAGTTTTTATTCATGGACGTGTACTTTTTGCCTGTGTTTTCCCCTCCAGTGCCAGTGGATGAAATATGCACAAGAGTTGTCAGCAATAAATCAACTATTCTTTGTGGTGTACTTACGGTTACCCATCAAATTTTAGTTAAAACTGACGAGATGCCAGTTTGTGCGATGCTCAAGTACACTGTAGGCAGTGATGTGTGTTAAGGTGAGGTTTGTGCATGGATTACCTTGCTCACATAAACATTGGTGTTGGCAAAAAGGGGTGTGCAACAGTAACGTGTAGCCACTCGTGTAATCTGCTGGTTGGCGCGTGTTTTCGTTGAATGCTGGTATGGGGCTGACTGATGCTTAGCAGGTTAATGACATTCCTTGAGAGAAGGAAGCTGTAATGGTGTTGTTACTTATCGTGATCAATGTTTGTTGAGGACTATAAATAAAAAGCATTTAACATGCTTAAAAGTGCTTATTAAAAAGCATAATAATATCAACAAATTCATTAGCTCTAGATGTCAGTGAATTATGTAGTTTATAGTCCATTTCAAACAAGTGGTCAAGTGAATGCTGTAGAAGCTCAAAATTGGGCATTTCTCTGTTTTAAGTTAATTATGTTAACAAAAGGTATGGTATATATTAGCAACACCCTTGTAACAAAACCTGTCAGCATTCTGGTACACATGAGGATAACAAGTGCACCAGGGTTTCCCCCAGGACTCAGGAGTAATGATTGGATTGTCCGTTTGGTCTTATCACAATAAATTCACATTGCTTAATTTTAACTCAGTTATTCAAATAAACAGTCATTAGTTCCAATTTGGATTATGTGTAGCTGTTCTAAGCATATATTGTTTGTTCCAAGAATGATGGTTCAACAAGCTGCTGCAAAGTCACTCCAATTAACTGTTCAAAATGTGTCAAGTTTGTGGTAGTTGTATAGGTACCCTTGCATTTTTGTGCTCATTGTGAATTTGTTTTCCAAAACTTAATTGCAATGAGAGAAACTTGGAGTATATAGTTATTGTGAAGTGCATAAGCTGGCATTATTCCTACTGGCATTATCACAGTTATTCCCACTGGACCTTCCATGATAAAAAGGCTACTTGCAGTAGGTGTCAGGTAGATCACGTTGTTAATAGTGGTAGCTCAGGTGTTATATTCTGAAATCTGAAGTATGGTTTGAGGTTTCACTACACAACTTCTAGGCTGCATATTCTGTCCAGGTTATGCTTCACTTGGCAAATCAAAAAAGCTACAACTGGCCCAGTTACCTACTTCTTTAGTGAAATCTTTAGGGCACAGTTCCTGCATTGACATGGAAGTCCTGTTGTGTTCCAGGCATGGTCGACTGCTTTGTGCGCATTCCGCGCGAGCAGGGTTTCCTCAGCTTCTGGCGTGGTAACCTCGCCAACGTCATCCGGTACTTCCCGACCCAGGCGCTCAACTTCGCCTTCAAGGACAAGTACAAGCAGATCTTCCTGGGTGGCGTCGACAAGAAGCAGTTCTGGCGGTACTTCCTGGGTAACCTGGCGTCCGGTGGCGCCGCCGGAGCCACCTCGCTCTGCTTCGTGTACCCGCTCGACTACGCCCGTACCCGGCTGGCCGCTGATGTCGGCACCGGCGGCAAGCGCGAGTTCACCGGCCTCGGCAACTGCCTGGTCAAGACCTTCAAGTCCGACGGCCTGATCGGCCTTTACCGCGGCTTCGGAGTGTCCGTGCAGGGCATCATCATCTACCGCGCCTCCTACTTCGGCTTCTTCGACACGGCCAAGGGCATGCTGCCCGACCCCAAGAACACCCCGATCATCATCTCGTGGGCCATCGCCCAGGTGAGCACGAAGCGATTAGCAAATAATTGTGGGCTGACTGGCAACTTTGGCTTGAATGGGTGGGTGATGCGTATTGGTTTGTTATGGGATCTTTTCATGCGGATATTCGATATCGCTAGAGAAGAACGTCTTCATTGTATCTGTACCCCTGTCAGAGATGTAAAAGGCTTTAAGATCACCGTAATTTTATTGTATAGCGGCTAAAGTGACGTTTTCCACTCACAGCGTTGGAACGTATATGGAATGGGATTGTTGCTCGCAACCCCCTCCCTAAATGGACATATCGGCATATTTTGACACTAGTTATCTTTGTTGAAGATGCAGTGTTATTCATTTCCTGATGCGGCGTGTTCTATATTTTGTGTTCATGTCTAACTAACATCGCTCCCTGTTTTCTCTTCAGACGGTGACCACCGGCGCCGGCATCATCTCGTATCCGTTCGACACCGTACGGAGGCGCATGATGATGCAGTCGGGCCGCAAGGGCGCCGACGTCATGTACAAGAGCACCATCGACTGCTGGCGCAAGATCGCCGCGCAGGAGGGCGGCAAGGCCTTCTTCAAGGGCGCCTTCTCCAACATCCTCCGTGGCACTGGTGAGTTTGGCCGGCAAATAGCCGAAGATCGGTGTCGGTACAGGGAGGGCGTCGTCGTTTGGACTTAACTACTCGTTATACTTGTCCGTCTCCCTGATAAGATATTGCAACCAGAGAGTAAATTATCGTGCTTGGTAGAAAACTGAATGATTGATTTAGAAAATCATAGGAGGAATGAGCCGTGTCCTAAATCCTTATACAAATGGTGAGAACAGCTCACGTTCGATAAATCCGCAACTATTTTGTTTTGTTTGCTGGCTATTTGTCGGCCGTGGGTAACAGTACCGCCGTCGGCTCCATGGCATGTTTGATGCCGTCTCTCATGGCGACGCTGCCGGCGGTGACGCGCCGTCCACGGTCCGGTGGTGGCTGTATCGACCGGCTGACCTCTGCTGGTCGCTCTCCGATCGCTGGCTGACCGGTGTTCCTCTGGCCGTTTCAGGTGGTGCCCTGGTCCTGGTTCTCTACGACGAGCTGAAGGTGCTCATGTTCGGCTAAGCCGGCTAGCGCTCTAGTTGTGAATGGATAGGAACTGACTCGGTACGTTCCGCTCATGGAGCCTGCTCCTCTCGGGGGCGCTGTCCAATGTTAAACCGTGCGCCGGGCCGGCTGGCCCGCCGAGCTGGGCGCGTTCCACAGCCGTCACCCGGCGCGGCAGTTGGACGTCTCACCCCGACTGTTCTGAGAATCGTGTACATGATGGAGATAATATACACACGCGCAGCTGCTGGCTGCCTCACCGAAACTTTACTGGTTTTGTGAACATGCCTCCCTGGATCAGCTCATGGACTGGAGTCTGAAGCTCACGAGCCAAATTTATGCGCGGGTGGAACTTCCGAGGGTTGACTGTGCTTAAGCGGATGCTGTTGACTTGTGCTAGGTCCTACTATATGAAAGCGGCAGACTAGTCTATTTTCTTAACGAGAAGAAAATATTTCCTTGACTTATGCTGATCACTAAATCTCTGATCGTCCATTTGCGTAAAGATGTGTTCAGCATCACCTAATAAGTGCTCAAGTTGAGCACTTTAACGGCGTGAATGCTTACGTCATCGTATATTTCGACTACGCTCTTTTAGCCCAGCCACCGTCTACGATGCTCCATTGGTTCCGCCGAGGCATCTGCGGTCCTGTGGCCGTCGACGGGACGGTATGCGACTTCCACCCGCGTGTCGCCGACGGGAGCGCTCCTGTCGGGCTGTATCGACCAGCTGCGCAGGACTGGGTCAAGTGTGCGCCACCCACTGCGTGACGTCACGGTCGTTAGCGGGGGGGGGGGGGCTGTGCGTTCCTGGCAGGCGTCACACATCACATGGCAACAGGGCGGCCTCAGCTCATGTCGCTGTCAGTCAGATCAGGATGGGAGGGCTCAATAGATGACCATTTTTGATGTGTGTAGTTCGCATAGTTCACTTTTGATCTCATCTTATGTCGTCGAAGTGATCCATCCTCGTGGATGTCCATTATCCACTGTCAATCCAATCACTAATCTATGAAACGGCAAACGTCACCCGTAACGACGCAGCTGCCTGTCAGTCCCTGGGACCATTTAAATTTTCGACTGAATTAATGCCCTGAGCCCGGCCCCAGCCATTCGTAAAAGTCATCCCCGATCGTGCGAACATGGTCGCCTCGCATCCCATGGCTGGTGGCTATCCGAGTCGGCCACGTGGCGAAAACCGGCCGGTCATGTGAACCCCGGCGTGACGTCACTGCTGACGTACGCCCCCCCCGACCACGCCCACCGACCGTCTGGAACGGAGGGGCGTCAATGGCGTCCGCTGAGTGCCGCGACGGCGGGCTGGGGTCGACGGGATGACCCGAAAATTAGACAAGGTGCACCGAAAACATTTTTTGAATCAGTTTGGGGGCGGGCGGGGCTGGGCATGGACATGGTTTCATCGCCATGCATACCTACTCGCAGCGCTCTCAGAATGCCACCCGACTCCCCAGTGTAGTCTTCGGCGTCGGATGTCTAGTCCCATCCGCGCTGGAGCGACTGGAAACGTACCCTGTGCCCCTCCGCCTGCGGCCGCGGGATCGGAGGTCAGGGACCACGCACCGACGCCTGCCCCACCCTGCCGACCGCTGAGGCGCAGATCGAGTTGGCCAGTCAGCTGTTCTGAACGTGATTCCATCCTCCCAAGGACGATATTTCTGCTAGCTTCCAGCTAGTTGTCCTCGCTAGCCCTGGCAGTCTGCGCTCCGGTGAAGCTGTGCCTGGGACGTTGACCCACTATTCTATCGATCGATCCGGCCGCCCCAGCCTTCGCGGCGAGCGGTCATAGCGCGAGCGCAGGCGCTACACCTTGGCATTACTTGTGTAGTGTCATGTATGCCTTGGGGTGGCTTGACGCGCAGCGCGCAAGGAAAACCGAAGGGATCTCATACATGCATCATGCGTATCCTGCGTATCTCATGCATCATTGGCGTCGGACACATAAGAAGTGGGAACTGGGAAATGCAAAAAAAAAGGTAGCCCATATCGCGTCCCTTTCGGATGACAGGTGGTACCGATAGAATGACATGTATCTCCATAGTCTATGGCTGTTACACCTTCAGGAAATATTTTGAAGAGCTCGTATGGAGTGGCGCCGGCCGTATAAAAACGGCATTCTTCGACTATATTAGACGGAAAACGGGCTTGAGCACATATCAATGTGATGATACATGAACGAATGGTCCTAATGCTCTGATCTAATCCGGCATCCACGTCCTGGCTCGGAAATGTCACTGGCAGTTTTGTGTCAAACTCAGACGTCGAGGGAGGTTGACGGGACCGGTCGACAAAGGACAAATAAACTCTGCGTCTATTTCGTCAGAGCAGTGCTGGGCCATCCGGAGGAATATCGGCCATCTGAAAACGAGTTTCTGTACCGGTCTCGTGTGTAACACACTGTCCACTGCCCAGAGCAATGGCCTCGAACACGAGAGCTGAGCTTGCAATGCAAAGGCAGAACAGATAACGGCCATCGAATTCGTTCTTTACCGTGTAGGTATCAGTTCGCTGAGCGACGACTTATCGCATTTTATGAGCTCGATGAAGTTACTTCCGTCTACTGACAAAAATAGCTCGCAGAACAAATTGGTCCCCGTATTTTTTTCATTTGCTCTTGGTGCACAAAATAGGTATACGAGACTGGCCGACCATCAAAGGTCGAAGTACCCCTCATCCAGCTGGAATAGTGATTGCGCGTCATTCCTTGTCTTCAGACGAACGTTCTACGTCCGACGTCTCTCCCTCCAGCGTCCGGGGCCCGAAACGCCCGTGTCTGCCCCCCCCCCTCCCCCACCTACCCCCTTTCGTCGCCAGCGGACCGAGTCGTTCCGCGAATAGCCGCGGTGCTGGACAGGTCGCACCCGACGCGGCGCCGTCCACTGGCTCCCCTCGCGACCACTACGGCCGCCGCGTATTCAAATCCTGGAAAACGAGCCCCTTGCCCCCGATTGCGTCATCCCCTCGCCATCGGCTACCCATCTGAGGTGTATCGGCACCCCAGGAAAACCGTTTCAGGTGGGCCCCGGCTGTTTGGAATGTTCTGTAAGGTCCGGATCTGATGTCCCATGAGAGGGTGGCCGGTCTGCGCCCGATAAGGATCACGGGATTAGCCCGGCCGCCCGACCCATCCACACAGCGGGAGCGGGGAAAGGATTAGGAAGGGATTCGGAAGTCGGGACCGTTGGGAGGGGGGGGGGGAGAGAAGGGAAGGCGACAATTTCTGAAGCCGGGGGAAGGGGAGATTCGATATCGGAGCCGGCAAATCGAGCTGACTGCTGAGCCGACTGCTACAGTGCTAGCTTTCTGCCCGTATCGACACTTGGCGGTTGGCAGAACCCTCGGTCTGATATCTGGTGCGGAGAGAGACGATCCTACTTTCGTAACGGAACGGCTCGGTTCAGGCCGTGCCCCCTCCCCAGCCAGCGCCACCCAGCGATCTGGGTCGCAGTCCGACGTTGCGCAAGCGTCGGCGCTCCTCGGCGCGTGGGGCCCCACTGTCAAATTGGACGGGCGGGGCTCACCGACCGCGTGTCGGACCACGCCGTCAGCTGATACGGCACCGAACGGTTGAGGCAGGTGGTAAACGCGTGATCAGAGGTGGCGTCCGCTCGTCCGACGCACCCTGGGGTAGGACGGGGAGCACCGGCGTCCCCGTTAGGAGGGGAGTCACGCCTCTATGGGCCTCCGACAGCCGCATGGGAACAGGGGCGGTCCCGCCGGCCCGGGAGCCAGCCAAGGCCACGCGCAGGACTTTCAAGGACAGGGGCCAGACAGACGGCTGACGGCGGCCGGGAAAAGTCCACAGCCAGGAGCTTCATGGAATACAGCGACGGGCGGCTCTTGTCGGAGAAACCTCGCTATCTCTAGTGTACGCCGGCGATTGTAATTCACAACCGATGCGCTCCAGCTGGTATTTCATCGAATGCTCAGCAGTACCGTAGTTCCAGAGAAACAAACCATTACGCCACGGCAGCCCTGCAACATCTCGGTAGTTGGGTAATCGGCATACGTCATACCCAGGGATGACGTCTGTTTTATTGCGCCTAACACATACATACTCTCACTACGATAAATACTAAGTGTAGAATTTATTGGAGTCTGCTTGTAAGGTCAAATGAAAAACTATGACGTTTCATTGCCAATATTCAATCAGCAAGATGAAGCGGTCCCAAGCATCCCAAGTCCACGCACACAACAGCTGACAGCCGTGGCCTTAACCTTCCCTTTGTCAACACAACCCTTACATCAAGTTCACAGACCTTTGGCAAGACGCCCACAGAGAGCATGCCACGTCTCGCAGTAACCTAAACTCTAACCGCGACCTGTAAACCCCACTGGCGGCCAGCTATAGCTCCATTCGCCGATAATCGCGCGGAGCGGGGCCGAGAGGGGGGCCTGCTCCGTTATATCCGACCCTCCGCCCCGGTCCCCGCGGCCCAGCTGAGGACCTGGGCCCTGTTTCACCGGTGATAGCAGCACGCTGCTATCACGTTTCGCGAGCTGACGTCATGTCATGACGCCATACTGTTGACGTGATGGGCAGTTCCGGCGCACGATTGCCGCGACCTTGGCCGCGGCATTAAGTGACGTATGAGCCTTTAAAAGTAAGAGTTTATGCAGTGATGATAGTATATTTATTTTCAATATATATTTTTTTAATATGATGTATTTAAAAAAAAGTTTGTTTTTAGGAAAATTTGGACGTAAACTTCGAACATTTAGTTGATGACGTAAAACAATATTGCGGCAATCGTGCGCCAGAATTATCCCTTATGTCAGCAGTATGACGTCATCACATTACGTCAGCTCGCGCAATTTGATAGTGGCGTGCTGCTATCACCGGTGAAACAGGGCCCTGGCACCCTCCCCATCCGTCGCTGACGTCACAGATCTGGCAGCGCGCGCCACGGCGGTGGGTCGCGGCCGTGCACGGTCTCCGATAGCTCCGTCTCCCTGCAGCCGGCCGGGAATCGTTCCGACTCGGACGGACAGCTTCAATGGCAAGCACCAACACAGCCGTGCTGCCGTAAATATGGCCGGTCTGATGACTGGACGGACAGGGACTGGGTAATGATGGGTCTCACCAAGGGTAACTCGGGAAATAAAAAAGTTACCTCTGGAAAGCCATGTTGAGAATTGGTTGGCTAAACGGATCCCATCTTCGATTTCAAACGCCACCGCTGCCTTGACAGCCATCCGCCGTATGCACATTGCCCGCTAAGAGGATGCAACCCTCTCAACATCGTAAGTCG